TGAAACTTACTGATTCAGCAAGGCTAGCTAACCAGCAGGGCCTCAGAATCCTCCTGTCTCCATCCTCCTAACACTGTGATTACAGGCACACATTGCTCAGCTTTTCTGTGGAGGTGATAGGGACCCAATTTCAAGATCTCATGCTTACACAGAAAACACTTTACTGACTGAGCCATGTCCCCATCCTTGATTCAACTTCAAATTTAGAAGGTATTTTGTTTTTAATAAATGAAAATTCTACATAGTTTAAGGAATCAAACAGTCATACATCAAAAATATCAGTTGCTTATCTGCCTTTCTGGATCTCCCAAGGTGATAACTTCTTTTAACGAAGATGATTTATCACCAAGCTCTAAATGAGGGTCTTGGTATTTCCTCATCCTTTTCGTGCAAGCCATGTTTGTAAGCCATGTAAGCCATGTGTTTTCCAATATGGCAGATAACAGTCTAACTCTGTGTACCTCATCTCATCTCTGCTACAGACACATGTTTCCTCTTACCCCCATCCCTTCGATAAAGTTTCATCAACCAAAATGATTATTCTATAATGTGAAGTTTCATGCCTTATGACTGTATCCATGCTATGCATAGCTGAGTCATTTAGGGCACACTGTATTTTCTTCACTTTCCTCTACAGTTCCATTGGAGCTCCTATTAGTCTTTCCCCTCATCTATTCAGTTCTATCTGTGGTACCTACCACTGATTCCTTCCCTGATTCTCCCCCCAGTTGGGTGAACCTTCTCTAGATATTTTCATATTCAATTCTATCATTTTATATTTCCTTTTTTATTTATTAATTTTTATTTTTTATTTTATGTATATGCATGTATTGTCTGCATGTAGGTAACTGCACTCATGTCGTGCCGTGCCCATAGAGGACAGAAGAGGCAATCAGATCCCCTGGAACTGGAGTTACAGACAGCTGTTAGCTGCCATGTGGGTGCTGGGATACAAACCCAGGTCTTCTGAAAGAACAGCCAGTGTTCTTAACCACTGAGCCATCTCTCCAGCCCCCTCATCATTCTATATTTCTATTTTTATTTATGTTTATGAGTGTTTTGTCACATGCATGTAAGTGCACCACATGCATGCAATGCCCACAGAGGCCAGAAGATGGCATTGACTCTCCTGGAACTGGATATGTACAATTGCTAGCTGCTATGTGTGGGTGCAGAACCAAACCCTGGTCCTCTGCAAGAGCAGTCTGTGCTCTTAACCTCTGAGCCATCTCTCCAGAACAATTTTTATGAAACCAATGTTTAATCTCTCTGATCCTTCGGATCTCCTCTTTGTCTCCACTTTTCTGAAATTCCACAGCAATATGTAATTGAGTTCAGGTCTACAGGCCCAAGTTGATGACTGTGCAATATAGTTTATCTCACCAAGTGTTCCAGAGTATACACGGACAAGTCCTTTGAGAGTGTGAATTTATGAGGAGTGTGAGGAGATAAGGCCAACAGACTATTGATGAGCAGGCAGTATCACACATTTACTCATTTATGACTGATAACAGCAATGTTACAAATTCCAAGTGCTGGTATTTTTTTAAGGGCGAATATTCCAGGGTCTCAACCTGATTCATTCAGTTGGAAATATAGCCTTCCCATGCCCTTAGCACACTCCTTGGCTTCTGTACCCACAGACCCTGCTCAGCTGGTGGAAGACCAACATTTTGACTTCAGTTTCTGTGCATACTGGCTCAAGTTGCTGTCAGCCACCAGGGGGCAAACTTTGCTATCATCCTGCAGACAACCAGAGATTATAACAGACAGATATAGCAGGATGGTAAGCTAGTAATGGTTGTTTGTACGATAGGTAAATAGAGAATATCTCTATGAAACATCTACCCAATATTTATAAAGCTGTCTGCCCCCTGGTGGAAAGTCGACCAGGAATAAGCACTATTCTAGTGGCCATCTGAATACTATAATTTTCATAGAAAACAATTTATTGGAACTTGCACCAACCTTGAGTGAAGAGTGCTTAATGCTCATTTGACAGGTGTAGAGAAATTAAGTCACTTTTCCAAGACCCTAATGAAGAACAGAGCTTCTAATCTGAGTAGACCCAATCCAGAGCTCACAACAAATCCTGCCTATTCCATTCCATCACAAAAGCATGCTCAAATGTTGCTTTAATCTCAGGTTTGATTTTGGGATTTGCCATTAAACAGAAACACTGCTCTTGATGAGTGCAGGGGGGAGGCCACATGGAACAGGAACCTGTCTTACTGTTTGCTTGTTCTGATGCTGATTAGCATGGGACTCTGAGGAACAAGTCACCTCCCTGAGCCTCAGTTTTCTCTATCTGTAAAGTCCAGTTAAGAATATACTCTTCTGCCGGACGTGGTGGCACACACCTTTAATTCCAGTACTTGGCAGGCAGAGGCAGAGTGGATCTTTGTGATTTGAGGCCAGCCTGGTCTACATAGTGAGTTCCAGTACAGCTGGGGCTACAGGGAGACCCTGTCTCAAAAAAAAAAAAAAAAAAAAAAAGAATATACTCTTCTGGTGTGCTGGAGAGATGGATCAGTGGTTAAGAACTCTGGCTGTACTTGCAGAGGACCCAGGTTAGAGTCCCAGCACCCACATGGTGGCTAACAACCATCCATAACTCCAGTTCCAGGGGATATGACACCCTCTTCTGTCCTCTGTGGGCATTGTATGACACCAGTGCACTTGCATACATGCATGCAATATATGTATACACATAAAATAAAAAATAAAAACCAAACAAATTTAAGAATAAAAAGAATATACTCTTCTAAGGGCTAGTGATGTGGCTCAGTTGGTAGAGTGCTTGCTTAGCATGCACAAAGCCCCAGTTTGATCCCTGGTACTTCATAAACCACATGTGGTGGTCCACACCTGCAGTCCCAGCACTCAGGAGGTAAAGGCAGGAGGAGCAGAAGTTCAGCATCATTCTCAGCTACATAGAGAGTTAGAGACCAGCCTGGGCTACATAAGACCTTGTCTCAAAAACAAATATACTCTGAGTCTGGGGAGGGACCAAGATGACCAAAGGAAGGACTCAGAAGGGGATATGTAATTGAGGAGTGAGAAGAATCTCCCCGGAGAAGGAAGAGGACACTGGAGGAGTTTGTAAGAACACGGGGTATTAAATGTGTGGAAATTCTTAGATGGGTATGAGTTCTCGCTACAAATATTCTATTATAATCTAGTCAAAGACCTCATCATTTCTACCAGAAAAGCACGTACTTCTGTTCTAGTGACCCAGTAGAACTAGCAAATCCAGTTTTCTCTGCTGGGAACCAATAGTAAATTCCTACTAGGGGTGCTTAAATTTGGCTGTGGTAGTATGAGGTCTTAAAAGGCTCCCAGGCACCCTTAGATTTGGGTTGATTTGGGGTGTGCCTGGACATTTAGAATGTTAAGAGTCTGTCACCCTCACCTCATTGTTTTAAATTTAAAAATAATAAATGAAAGCTTTATTATTTATGTGTATGTATATGCAGGTATGTACACATGTATGTGCTGGTACCTGGGAGGTTAGAAGAAGTCATCAGATCTCCTGGACCTGGAGTTATAGACAATTGTGAGCAACCCCATGTGGGTGCTGGGAACAGAACTCAGGTCCTCTGGAAGAGCAGCAAGTACTCTTAATGACTCAGTCATCTCTCCAGTCCCATGTTGTCCCCTACATCCCTGGTGATTCTAATGGGCAAATTAAATTGTAACCATTGCTCCAGAACTTTTTTTTTTTTTTTTTTAACAGGAGGGTAGAAGAAACAGCGATACCCAGTGGCTCTGAAGCTTTAGTATACAAACAAATGAATTACTTGGGGAGCTTGACAAAACTAATTCAGGAGGTCTGGGAATCTGGGAATCTTCCCTTCTAACAAGTTCTTAGGGGACCAGACATGGTGTAATCCCAGTACTTGGGAGCAAGTGAACCTGGAGTTCAAGGTCACCTTAGGCTACGTAGGGTAACCCTGTCACACATGCACACACACACACACACACACACACACACACCAAAAAAGTTCCCAGGGGATGTCCATGCTGTGCCTAAACTGCTCTTGTATAGCTGTGTGATTGTAGACTTGAAGGAGAATTATGGCTCTTCAGGCCAGGGGTAACCTTAAGTTAACTCAATTCTAAGAGCATCTATTTTCTTGTCTATAAAACGAGGCTTAGGACTTAGCTCGGTGCTAGAATGTGAGCTTGGCCTATGCAAGGTCATGGGTTCAAACCCTAGCGTGAATACACACACACACACGCAGGTACACAATAGAGCAAGCAATAATAACTACATCATAGAATTCCCATGATGCTCATCTGAGGTAATGCATTAAACATGTTCAGCCCAGTGCAACAAATGCTAATCTTTTGTTAGGACAGCCAACACTTACGGAATAGTTATCAGCCAGGGATTTTCTAAGGGCTATTATTTCACCACCCTCATTTTATACAAGAAACCAAGGCACAGAGGTGGCGTACGGGAGTCTACAGTTACACACCTCAGCTGGAATCGAGCCCAGGAAAATCTGGGTTCGTTACCACCATTAATCCTGGGGTGCTAGAATGGACCAGCACAAGCCAGCACTCCTTCCAGATTTGACTGACTCTTAGGGGACGGGCTGGGACCGGCAGGTGGCAGCCTAGGGCTTCGAGGGTGCGAGGACCAGTTCCCAAGACCACGCCCAGCAGCAGCGCCGCCCGGAGTACTTCGCGCAGCTGCGACCGCTTCCTAAACTTCTCTGGTCTGCTCTCCCTTCCCTGAGCTCCAAGTTCAAGTACGAATTCATAAGATTAAGGCTTTTTCCGGACTGAGAAAGCAGTTGAGAAAAGTTTACCGCAGCTCCCCTTTCACTCCGGACTGCGACACGGACGAAGCTACCACTCCGAGCTCAACCAGGAATTGGGAGCTTAGCCAGGAGAGAGGAAGTCGGAGATCTGTCTCGGATTCCCCACCCCACCCCACCCCGCCCCGAGCACTTTGGAGACGCCGGGCCCGAGCGCTCGGAAGGGACTCTGACCTCGGAGTCGCGCGGGGGACCATTCAGTCGAGTCCTCGGAGAGGGGGGACAAATGAATTTAGGGGAGTGGAGGGGGGTGGAGGCTAACGCGGTTTCCATGGCGCGCGGGATGTGGCGGAGGAAGGCACCCCAAGCTATGGCGATACAAGCGCGGTGCCAGGTGGGCCGGGCTGGAGGAGGCAGGAGAGCCCTTGGTGGGAGGGGGTGCAGGGCGTGGGGAGCCGGACAGGCCGGGGGCGGGGCGGTCACGTGCGCCCGAGGGGGCGAGGCCCCAGCCTGCCCCGGAGCCAACCAAGCCGGCCCGGCGGCTCAGGGAGCAAACTTTTTGCCCCGACTGGACGGTCAACGCCTCTGTGGGAACTCAAGGCTGGAACAGCTGGGAGCGCGTGGCGAGGTGTCTGCGACTGGCCTGGGGACAGCAGCTCGCGCGGGTGGGGACAGAGAATCCGAAGGACAAGAGAGAGGAGTTGGGGTGTGAGCCTGGGAAGCCCCATTCTCAGTCTCCACGCAGCTGAGGTCTCCGTTTCTCCAGGGACCCGGGCGCGCTCCTGGACGAGTGTGCCATCAGCTCTAGGGGAACAGCCTAAAGTCACTGGTCCTTAAAGACTGCCGGAGTCAGCAGGTGCCCCGGGGGTTCCAGAGTACGCAGTGGTCATGGTGAATGAAGAACCCAGCCAAGAGGAGCGCAATGACAGTCCTGCGCCGGAGTCTGCTTTGCAAACGGATCCCAGCTGCTCGACCCATCCCAGCGTCTCCATCCACCCCAGCGTCTCCACCTACCCCAGCAGTTCAGCCCACCCCAGTGGTATAACCCATTGTAGTAGCTCAGGCACGCAAGGCAGCGTGATCAAGGTGAGCAAGCGCCGCTGGGCGGTTGTCTTGGTGTTCAGTTGCTATTCCATGTGCAACGCCTTTCAGTGGATTCAGTACGGCTCCATCAACAACATCTTCATGACTTTCTATGGGGTCAGTGCCTTTGCCATCGACTGGCTGTCAATGTGCTACATGCTAACCTACATTCCTCTGCTCCTGCCTGTGGCCTGGCTGCTGGAGAAATTTGGCCTTCGCACTATCGCCATCACCGGCTCAGCTCTCAACTGCCTCGGGGCCTGGGTGAAGTTGGGCAGCCTTCAGCCCCGCCTGTTCCCAGTCACAGTACTGGGCCAGGTCATCTGCTCCGTGGCCCAGGTCTTCATCCTGGGCATGCCCTCCCGCATTGCTTCTGTCTGGTTCGGAGCTGACGAAGTTTCAACAGCTTGCTCGGTGGCTGTGTTTGGCAATCAGGTGAGTAAAGGAGATGCATCTTACCGTGGTGGAGCTGAGTATGTTATAGTGTACCTAACGTGATCCAGCTGTGTGAGAAGCTGCTATTTTCTGGTCAAGAGCCTTTATGACTCTGGGGGGCTTTGTGGTTGGATGTGACTGACAGTGTGGTTGGGTGATTGTGACTGTCAGTGACATTGTAAGATAAGTGGGGACCACAAGCAGGAGACTTTTTCTTTATCCCTCAGTAGGACGCTTGCTTCTAGAACCCAATCCACTTTGATGATGTTCATTCCAAACCAGTTTCCACCTTTAGGAATGTAGGTCTTTCTCCCTGTTCATCAGACCAGGTATCAGTGCTGGCGTCACTGGAATTTGACAGGTGTTTTAGTTGGACCAATCAGCTTTCCTAGAGTGCTGCATCCTCAACTCCTGTACTGTGTAGAACTGTTCTTACCTTCTTTCACACATAGGACAACAGGAACAGTGCTTTGCATGAAACTGTCCCTGGGGTTTAGAGTGGGATGGAATAGAAATCTCACTAGGAATTTCCAAGAAGGCATCTGCTATAAATCTCTTTATGCTTTTCCTCTTTTGGGGAAGAACAACCCCAGATTCTTAGCATCTCATTGTGGCTCTGATCCAGAAACTTGGGCATGTCATAAATCTTACTGCTTTCTCCATATATTTGAAGCAAAACAAACGTTTCTAGGGTCCTTTAACGGTGCAATTGCCTCCCACCCTCATTTCCCAAGTGCATGCAGTCCTGGGTACAGTTTGACAGATGACCACCCACCTTTAGTTCTCATGAGCCTACTTGTCTTACCTATTCATTTCATTAAGAAAATGTAATTGGGGGTTGGGGATTTAGCTCAGTGGTAGAGCACTTGCCTAGCAAGTGCAAGGCCCTGGGTTCGGTCCTCATCTGGGAAAAAAAAGAAAAGAAAAGAAAATGTAATTGGGGTGGGGGGGCTATGAAGAGGTGGTTCAGTGGCTTAAGAGAACTTGCTGCTCTTGCAGAAGACCCTGGTTCAATTCCAACACCCACATGGAGGCCCACAACCATGTGTAATTCTAATGCCAGGAACTCCAACACTCTCTACTGGCCTCCACAGGCACTGCACACATGTGGTACACATACAACAAGCAGGCAAAACATTCATACACATAAAATAAAAAGAAATCTTCTTAAAAAGGGAAAGTGTAATTTTTGATTTAGTGGGGCAGAAACTTTCCAAAATTTCTCTAAAGGAAATTTTCTTTTCTGACTATTAACTACCAGAGAGGTACCTGGAGTCAAGTTCCCCATGTCCAGAAATCCTGCACTTGTAGTTTTTGCAACGTATGAAAGCAAATAGGTGGATGCCTTTTGCACGTAAAAAGCAGCAAAATCCCCCTTACCCAATTTCTACTTGTGAGTTTAGGTGTTTTGGAGAATGAATTGATTTAAAAGCTGGAAATGGAGCCAGACAACTTTTGTTAAGGACAACTTAAAAATAGATAATACGGGCTGGAGAGATGACTCAGTAGTTAAGAACACCCACTATTCTTGTAGCCCAGGTCAGGTGGTTCGCAACTACCTATAATTCCAACTCCAGGCAGGACCTGGCATTTCTGGCTTCTGAGGGCACTAGCACTCACATGCACAGACCCACACTATACATAATTTTAAAAATAAAATAAAGCCGGGCGTGGTGGCACACCCCTTTAATCCCAGCACTCGGGAGGCAGAGGCAGGCAGATCTTTGTGAGTTCAAGGCTACCCTGGTCTACATAGTGAGTTCCAGGACAGCTGGGGCTACAGAGAGACACTGTTTCAAAAAGACCCCCCAAAAATAAATAAATAAATAAATTAATTAATTAAATAAACCTTTAAAAATAGATTTAAAGGGCTGGAGAGATGGCTCAGCAGTTAAGAACACTGGCTGTTCTTGCAGAAGACCAGCAGCTAACAATTGTAACTCCAGTTCTAGGAGATCCAACAGCCTCTTCTGTTTTCCATGGGCATTGCACGACACCAGTGCACTTACATACATAGAGGCAATAAACACATACACATGAAATAAAAAAGATTTAAAAAATATGGATATTGAGCTGGATGTGATGGTGAAAGCCTGTAGTTCCAGCATTTGGGAGGAGCATAAGGATCAGGAGTTCAAGGTCATCCTAGGCTCCATACTGAGTTCAATACCAGCCCCAGACTCTCAAAAATAATAAATAAATAAATAAATAAATAAATAAATAGTGATGTTTGTCAGTCTCCAAATCTTAAAGTGATGACTGAGAACATAAGAATTAAGACTGTTTTTTTTGATCATTTCATTACAGCTTTAACATACTCAATAACAGTTTCCAGAGCAAAGGTACATCTCTTTCAAAAGTGGCTATAACATTTTTAGGTTCACAGTTGAATTAATACAGTTATACAATATTGAACTCAGTATAAACCCTGTAAGACATAAAATTGAATGAGCTTTCAACCTTTAAAAAAGACCTCCATTTCATTTTAAAATATACTGTTTCTTACGGAAAGGCTCATTGTTTTTGCTAATAACACCTAGATATTGGCACATGCGTCTCTAATCTGTATGTATCTGATCATTACTAATCATGGTCAGTTACACTCAGATCCTTGGCACCCGTGTATGTATATAAAGTCATTGGGTAGATTTCAGTGGTAATGTTTATCACCTCTACTAATTAGCATGATGTAAATTTCCATGCTTCCTCCACAAATATAATACATTTTACAAAATTTGTTGACTTTTTTTGTGTGTGTATATCACACAGAACATCCCAAACCATCTTATTCAACTATATACCCACTTCCCAGATGGCACCCTCCCATAGCCTCCCTTCCCCAACTAGAGCCCTTATACTCTGATATCCCTGCTACTGTCCGCTGTGTGGTCAGCACACCCAGCCGTTCCCCACTACTTGTCCATCTGGTGAATCTAGTCAGCCTATCTAGAGGTCTTTGTTTTAGACAGGTCGGCTGTTCCTCATCTAGCAGCAATCAGCTGTCAATATTCCTTTAGATAAGATTAGGGTCTGCTGTTCATTTTCCCAGTTCTATGCTGGGTTACTATCTGGGAGTCCCTTGGGCCATCCTGGCCAGCAACTCGAAAGAAGGTATCTCCTATCTGACATTGTTGCTTGTTATATAGCCTTTAGCTATACATATGGACTCTTAAAAAATTATATTGGCCCCATTAATCTTTGCTTATACTTTCCTTTTGGGTGTTTAAGGCCATACTGTTGGCCCAGATAAACCAATTTATTTTTACTCTTAAGGCTGTTTGAAGATCTGTTCCTCAGGGGTCACGTGGGCTTGGGAGGAGCCCCTGGCTCCTTTCTTTTACCAATTCTGCCTATGTGAAGATAAGTCAAAGGTCCTACTCGACCATGGCTGGCATCGTTTGGAAGCATGGAGGAAATGTTTCTTCTGTGTTGACCCTCCTCTTTGTAGACTGGACACTGGTTTAAATCTATCTCGTGGGGTCTCCACAGCCTCCTTGATCAAGAGGACAAGTGACTCACCACAGTTACAGGACATTTTGAGAGATGCTTATAGTCCCCTGGAACTAGTTGACCTGGGAGGGCAAGGAGCAAAAACTATCCTTTATGTCCCTCTGACCAAATTAGTATAGCCCTCAAAGTATCTGTTAAACAGCCAAGAAGGTTAGTTCCTCCAGTCTGGTACTTTTAATTACCATGTGCCATGTACATAAAGCTTGGGCAAAGACCAATTTTTCTCAGATAAACTTTGCCTAGACATATATTCCTTGATCTATTTGTATGTATAATTTTCAGTAGGTTGTTAGACTAATATGGTTCCGTCTGGTTTTTTAAAACTAGCTAGGAATTATTTATCTCTTACATTGTCTAACCCTTCCACCATGGCTTCCCCATTTAAAGTGTCCCATATTTTTCCCATTTCTCCCTTAATAATTCCCTTCTCCTATGGTCCCACCTCTCTTCAGTTCCTTCTTTCCCTTTACTCCCAAGGATCGTCTTATAGACCTCATTCCCCTTCCCATTTAAATAACCCATTTTTATCTCT